AAGCAGTGGTATCAACGCAGAGTACTATTTTGTTCCATCAACAGCTTCTATTATAACTTCTTTGTTAACTTCAACATCTTCTTTACATACTGCAAGCCAAATTTCACCACCAACTTTAATTTTTCCAATAGAATTTGATTTTATTTCTTCTATAACTATTGCAGGAGTTCCTATTAAAGAATCTACATTTGTATCTATTTTCCTTTTTGCCATATATCTTTTTAATAAAGGTCTTATAAGTAATATAGAAACTAAAGATACACAACTAAAAACAATAATTTCTGTTTGTATTCCCGCACCCAACAACGAAAATATCATTGCAAACATTGCACCTGTGGAAAAACATAAAAAGAAAAATATCCCGGGTGTAACAATTTCCAACCCTAAACATAACAAAAACACAAACATCCAAATATACCAACTCATTTTCCCCCTCCTTAAGGAACTTTTTATTTTTTATAAATTCCCGCTAAACGACACTTTAATAATGTAAAATTTACAATCTATAATGTATAATGAATGTAATTCTTTACGGAATTTTATTGACATTATACATTCCACATTATAAATTATACATTATCTCTCTTCTGTTCTGCCGAATGTCTCCGGCGACAATCTATCTTTTTTATTTTATTTTTTTAAAATTATTTGGCAATTTCCGGCTTTATTATACATTAAAATTATTGTTATAATCCTAAAGCAACTTTTTCTTCTACAATTGAAATATTATTTTTTTGTAATATTTCAATTGCTTTTTCAGAATTATCAAATTTCAATACCATTAAAGCTTTGTCACTAGCTTTTTCTACAAAGCCATACATATATTCAAGATTAATATCGTTATTTGCCAAAATTTTTAATGCTTTTGCCAGTCCACCGGGAGTATCAGAAACTTCTACAGCAACAACAGAAGCTATTGTTGCAATAAACCCATTTTCTTTAAGAATTCTTGTTGCAGTTTCTGTATCATCCAACACAACTCTTAATATTCCAAACTCAGGACTTTCTGCAATGGTTAATGCCTTTATGTTAATTTTGTTATTACCTAACAATTCACAAACTTGTGCAAGTCTCCCTTTAGTATTTTCAATAAAAATAGATACCTGTTTAATTGTTTTCATTTATATCTCCTTAAAAATGCTTAGCAATTTTTAGTTTATAAATTACAACTATAAGCTAATTTATTTAATTATAATCTATAATTATAATTAACTACCACAAAAAAAAACAATAATAGATAATTTATGATTTATACTATATAATTTTAAAAATTGTTTCACAAATTTTATGATGAGGTTATTAGCCAAAAAATTTTCGGTATTCTTATTATAATGAAATTTTTTTCATTTTATTTATTACAGGTTCATTTAAGTATGAAATTTTGTCAAGTAATTTCACTTTAAAAGTTCCCAACTCATTAGACTCTTTTTTGGCAAGTTCTGCACAAATTTCATAACATACAAGAGCCGATACACAAGCCAAAACAAAATCTTTTTCTATTGCACAAAAAGATGCAATTACGGATGTTGCCATGCAACCCGTTCCAACAACTTTTTCCATTATATCACAACCATTTTTTATCATGTATATTTTATCGCCATTAGAAATTATATCTTGTTCTCCTGTAATGACAATTACAGACTTTAGTTTTGCCGCCAAATGTTTTGCCAAATCAATTTTATTTATTTCAATTTTCGTTGAATCTACACCTTTAGTTTTTATATTTAATCCTGATATTGCAGCTATTTCTGAAAGATTTCCTTTGACTATATCCGGATGAAAAGTTGATAAAAGTTCTTTACAATTTATTGTTTCTAAATTTTGTTGCTCCCATTCCACAAATATCCAGTATAACAGGAATACCTTTTTTATTTGCAGTTTTTCCTGCAACTTTCATTGATTCAATAATATTGTCATTTAATGTTCCAATATTCAATACTACAGCACCGGAATTTGCCGTCATTTCTTCAACCTCTTCAATAGCATCTGCCATTACAGGCGAAGCTCCAAAACATTTTGTAATATCGGCACAATCTCTAACGGTAACATAATTTGTTATGTGATGAATTAGTGGTGCCGCATTTTTTATTTTTTGTAATCTTTCAAAAATTTTTTCCATAATTTTCTCCATTTTATTTATTTTTTAATTTTTTATTGTAAACATTCCCTAAAAATTTGCTAAACCCTATAACACCATAAACTATAAAACCTAAAATAAAAAGTCTTACCCATGACATTGCCGATATTGCCGTCACCGAGAAGAAATCGTTTACCGGTGAAACATACAAAAATACATATTGTGTGGCAAACATTATAAATATTCCAAGCCATATATACGGATTTGAAAAAAGTCCCAAACTAAACATTGATTTTGACATTGAACGACAATTCAACAAATACATACTTTGACAAACTATAAATACTGAAACTGCCACACCTCTTGCTTGTTTGATTGTTGCACCATGTGCGAGTTCATAATCAAACAATACAAATACACCGCTAACTATCAGAATACTTATTATTATAAGTCTATACCAAAAAATTCCGTCCATAATTTTCATTTTCGGACTTATAGGGTCTCTTTGCATTATACCTTCTTCTTTCGGTTCAAAAGATAACATCATTCCCAAAAATAGTGCCGTTGACATATTTATCCAAAGAATTTGTGCAGGTAAAATAGGTAAAAGTTCTCTGTTTAAAAATATTGCCATCATCATGGCAATACCTTGTGCCATATTTGTAGGCAATGTCCAAATAATAAATTTTCTTATATTATCAAACACACATCTTCCTTCTTCAACAGCCGCAACTATTGAAGCAAAATTGTCGTCTGTCAGAACCATATCTGCAGACTCTTTTGCAACTTCAGTTCCCGTAATTCCCATTGCTATACCAATGTTTGCTTGTTTAAGTGCAGGAGCATCATTTACTCCGTCACCCGTCATTGCAACAATATTGTTTTGAGACTGCAATGCTCTTACAAGTCTTAACTTTTGTTCGGGAGTTACTCTGGCAAAAACAGAATAGTTTGTTGCTATATCTTTTAATTGTTTGTCATCATATTGTTCAAGCTCTTTACCTGTCATTGCAGTATAGTTTGGTTTTTCACCTTGAACTATTCCTATAGATTTTGCAATTGCTGAAGCAGTTAAAGCATGGTCTCCCGTAATCATTTTTATTTTTATTCCGGCACTATGACACTTTTTTACCGCTTCTATAACTTCAGGTCTTGCAGGATCTATCATTGCTTGAAGTCCCACAAATGTTAATCCTGTCGCTATATCTTCATGTTTAATTTGGGAACTGTTTGAATCAATATCTTTATAAGCAAAACATAGAACTCTTAGCCCCCTTGTTGCCATATCATTTGCAACTTTTAATATTTGTTCTTTATTAAATTCAATTTTATTTCCTTTTTCATCAAGCATATACAAACACATAGCCGTAATTTTTTCCAAAGCCCCTTTTACAAATGCAATGTTTGTATTAGTGTTTTTGTGTAATGTTGCCATATACTGATATTGAGATTCAAAAGGTATGGTATCAAGCCGTGGGAACTCTTCCAAAAGTTCGTTATTAAGGTTTGCTTTGGCTCCCAAAACTATTAAGGCACCCTCTGTAGGATCTCCTTGAACATCGTTTCGTCCGTCAATACTAATTATTTTTGAATCGTTACATAAATAACCTGCTTGTAAACATAACTTAAACGATTTTGAATATTCCAATCCTATAATGGTATCGGTTTCTTTTACTTTTATTTGTCCCGAAAAAACATATCCCGTTCCCGATACGGTAAATATTTTTCCATCGGTAAACATTTCCACAACCGTCATTTGATTTTCGGTAAGAGTTCCTGTTTTATCGGAACAAATAACGGTAGTGCTGCCAAGCGTTTCTACTGCAGGTAATTTCCTGATAATGGCTTTTTTCTTAGACATTCTTGAAACACCTATTGCAAGTGTTATCGTCATTGCCGCAGGTAATCCTTCAGGTATTGCGGCAACTGCAAGACCAATGGCTGCCGTAAACATTAATTTCCAAGGTTGACCATGACTAATTCCAAATATAAATGTAACCGCCGCCATAGACATTATCAAATAAACCAAAAATGTACTAAACTTTGACATCTTTTGTGTAAGAGGAGTATCAAGTGCATCCGTGGAAGAAATCAGTTGAGAAATTTTCCCGACTTCCGTATTGTCACCTATTGCAACAACTATACCTTTACCGCTACCGTAAGTTACAAGTGTTGAAGCATACAACATATTTTTTCTGTCTGCAAGAACTGTTGAAGACGGTAAAGTGTTTATGTTTTTTTCTACAGGCAAAGATTCACCCGTTAAAGCAGATTCATTTATTTGCAATTCTCTTGACGAGATAAGTTTTATATCGGCGGCAACTTTGTCTCCGGAAATAAAATATAAAATATCGCCCGGAACAACTTCGGAAGAATCAATGTGCATTCTTTGACCGTCTCTTAAAACTACAGCTTGTGTCGTCATAGACTTTGCAAGTGCTTCCAAAGATTTCAGTGCTTTTGATTCCTGAATAAAGCCGACAATTGCATTAATTAACACTACCCCAAATATTACACTGCTGTCCGCCCATTCATGTAAAAATAGCGTAATAAAGCCGGAAACTATCAATACATACAACAAACAATTATGAAATTGTAAAAAAAATCTTTTTATTGGACCGTCACCTTTTTTCTGTGTTAAAACATTTTTTTCCATACTTTTGTTGCCTGTCTTTTATTTCGCCTGATTTAAGACCTGTTTGTGCATTGGAATTAAATTCTCTTAATACATCATCAACTTCAATACTATGCCAAAATTTTTTATTTTCAGTGTTTCCTTTTTCCATATTTTTACCTCTATATATTTATATTTAATTTACTAATTTTTCCAAAGTTTTAACCACATTTTTTGCAATCATTTTGTTTCCAAAATCGCTACAGTGTCCAAAATCTCCCGCAAATTGATCAACAAATATTTCATCATATTTTTTTTCCGTTAATGCCTCTTTAAAAATTTGTTCATTATCAATAAAAGTAATTTTATCATAATAAGGTTCATCTTTTAGTTGTTCTTGCAACGGTTTTAAAACTCCTTACAGGATATTGCATACAAATTACATTAATATTATTATCAATAAGTTTTTTTACAATCAGTTTGTATAAATTATAAGTTTTTATTTTAGGAAACTTTAATCTTAGTTCTTCCGCTTTTTCAAAATATTCTTTTGCTTTTTTATAATCTTTATTTTCCATACATTCAATGGCAACAATTCCATAATCTTTATCACTATCTTTTATTATTATATTAAATATTTGTTTTTTTTTGTTCTTGTGTAATATAATCTTTTATATATCCATACAAAAAATATTTTATATCCGTTGATAAAACATCAATATCCTCAGCAAGCATTTTATTTATATAAAACTTCAATATTTGTATATTATTTTTTACAATATTATATTCAAAAATAATTTTGTAATACCATTCTTTTCTTACGGTAAAATTTTTATTTAATCCTTCAACTGCCATTTTGCATGCAAGTTCTTTTTGTGCCATAAAATCTGCATATAAAACAGCCAATTCAACAAAAGCCCACTCTTTATCTTTGTCGGTTTTTAATTTTATTTTTAAAAATTTTTCTGCCAATTCAATAAAAGTTAATTTCTTATTTTCAATGGCCTTTAACATTGTTTTTAAAAGTTTTTCTGCTTCTTCATAATGACCGCTATTTCTATATTTATAAAACAAATATTTTAAATCATTATTGTCAATATTTTTTGTAACTATTTTTTTGTTTTTTAATGTTGATTTTATATGTTTTTTAAGTAAAATTAAAAGTTTATAACATTTTAATTTTACTTTTAATTCTTTTTTATCATGTTGTTGTATTAATCCATCGTTAATTCCCATCATACAAATAGTAATATCAGGATTGTATTTATTTAAATTTTTATCCGTTAATTTTAAAATACTTTGAAGAGTAGTCCCTGAAATTCCGCAATCAATAACAGAAAATTTATTTGGATATTTTTCATTCAATATTTTTTGTAATTGAATAGGGTATTGCCCGGCAGTTGTAGATTCGCCCAAACACATTATTATATATTGAGATTTATTTTTTAATGTTTTATTGTTATTTTTATATTGTTGATTAAACAGATTGGGTTCTTTATTTATTACATTTTCTAATGCTTTGTTATTTTTATATTGCCGATAAGTTAAAACGGCAAACCCCGCTACCCTTAATCCACATTCTAAAACTAACAGAGACAAAAATATCCCCAATATTATCAATATAAATTTTTTTATAATGTTATCCATTAATTTGTATTGCTTTATTTTACATATTTAATTTAATTATAATTCATAACAATTTGTATCAAAAAACACAACAATAAACAATTTTATCGTTTGGCTGTTGCCATAACCGGTAACTATTGACTATGCCAATTTCTTTACCATAAAATCTTACAGACAGCTGTTTATTTGTTTTTTAGAGCTTTTTCAATCTGTTTACTAAAATCGTCTGCCAAGCCAACTTTTTCTTTGATTTGTTTCAATACTTCATCTTTCTTGCCTTGCAAACTCTTTTCAACTTCTTTAACTTTAGCTTGTGCAAGCTCATTAATTTTTTGCTTAATTTTTTCTTTAGCTTCGTCAACTTTGGAAGAGAACAATTTATTTATTGCATCATAAAGTTTTTTTATCTATATCCGATGTAATTTTTATATCCAAATTTTCGCTATTTTGAGTTTTTGCCGTAAGACTAACATCAAATGCTTTTATTGTATTGGTAATTTGAGCCAAATATTTTAAATTTCCGGTTATAGATGTTAAATTCTTTTCTTTTATATCTTTTAACTTGACATCTGCATTACACAAAAATCCGTCATTATTTAAATCAAATGTTCCCGCAACATTTATATTTGCAGTATCCACCAACGGCAAATAATCGTTCGGCTCTATACCTAAAATACTGCCCGACAAACCCGCAAGCGAAAATTTTAAATTATCTTTTGAGTTATTTGTTCTATGATCAAACAAACCGTCAACAGTAATTTTTTTGTATGTTATTATTTCCCAAAAGTGCCAAAGTTATCGGTTCGCCAACCATACTTGGAGATGAAGAAATATATTTTATCAGTCCGGAAAAATCTATACCTTTTTCATCTTTAGTTTTTGCCGTTGTTCCGGAAATGTTTATTTTTGAAATAAGCAATGTAGGATACAATTTTTGTTTAAATATTATATCTCTACCTTTTGCTCTGTGTTTAACTTCTTTTTCCTCTTCAGGTTTCTTTTCCGATTTTTCAGGCAAATATTGTTTTATTATTGAAAAATAATACATTGCTTTTTCAACTCTATTTACCCACTTATTTCCAAACAACATTTGTGAAATATTTTTTGTATTTAGTGTAGGCAACGATATTTTTTGACAAACAGTATTAACATCATTAGTCACACTATTTTTAATTTGCTTTGCAACATCAACCGTAGCCGTAATATCTTTTTTGGCATCGTTCAACTCTTTCAAAATACCGTCTATGTCTGCTTTGATTATTTTTAACTCTTTAACTTTTTTTGCCGTTTGTGCAATTTCCGTTAAATTTCCAAACTTACTTTTTGAAAGGTCATCTATTATTTTTTTTGCATTTTCTATCTTATCGTTAATTTTCATATTGTTAATTTTATCTTGATAAGATTTATACTTGTTTTGTAAATCCGCAGAAAAGTTTTCAACTTCTTTAATTGATGACAAACCTGTTTCTTCAACAATTTTATTTATATCAAAATTATTTATTTGTTCTTGAATTTTATTAAACATCTCAACAGAAGGTAAATTATTTACTTCCGATATAGTCTTTGCTTTTGCAGATTCAAACATTTTAGAAAATTTACTATCTTTCTTCTCTTTAACGAACTTTTTTTCCTGTTTTGGCGGCAACCGACCTGAAGTTTTTCTTTGAGTTTGCCATTTTATGCCGGTTACACTCATTTCATCTATAAGAAACTTTTTTCTTAAAATCGGCCAAAACCTAACATCAAAACTTATTTTTTCCACATCTATAAGATTTTTAAAATAATCATTTCTATCTGCAACTCTTAACCCGTTTATCAAAACAGAACATTTCTTAAAACTTGTTTTTAAATAATCTATTTCAACTTTTGCACCGACTATCGGCTGTGCCAACGAAATTATTGTACTCTTTAAAATCTTATCAAAAAACAAAATATTAAATATTATTACTAATGCTACAATTACTACCGTTATTGATAAAAAACTCCATCTTATAATTTTCATATTTTTTCCCCTACTTAACAAGATTTACTATTTTTGTTACTAATATACTTGAAGATAAAACTTTAACTATTTTCCATTTGGAAATTTTTCCTTTTAAATGTGTTCTGTAATAAACAAGAAACTTTTTTGCAAAAATTCCGTTAGGTACCAACAATATTAGCCCTACAACAAGACTTCCCATAACTATGGTATTATTAAAGTTAGTAAAAGGAACTACAGGAACATTGTATAACCAAGTATAAAAAGGGTTTAAAAAACTTATATTTAATACCCAAAACCCCACAACATCAAACAAAAAGTCTAAAGGATAACTTACTATTGCATATAGAGTACATCCTATAAGAGCTGCAGATATGTTTACTTTAAACAGCATTATCACAATAAATAACACCAACTTCATAAACATATTGGGAACAAGTCCCAATATTGCACCTAAAGCAAATCCCCAAGCTATTTGGTTTGGAGAAATGTCCGTCTGAAACATGACAATTACACTTTTTAAAGTTTTTAATAAAAACATTTTGACTCCTTTTAAAAATTACAAATTTTAACTTATAAACTTCTTAGTTTAGAACGAGTTTAAAAATCACAAAGTGATTTTACTAAAATTATACATTGTATAGTTTTTGATGTCTACTTTTTTGAAACATGTTCGTTCTACATTATAAATTATACATTGCCTCTCTTCTGTCATTAACTCACTTAAAATTTGTCGGCAATCTATCTTTTATTTTATTCCACTTTTTAAAAGAGGTATTTTATTTTTTTATAGATTCCCGATTACAAATTTCGGGAAATCGTCAAAAACAACAATGTATTTTTATGTTCCATAGATTCCCGCCCAACTGCTCTGCGGGACAAACAAAGAGGAACTTTTATTGTTTATATATCCCTCCTACTGCTTGCGGGAATGACCGAGAAAATCCCCAACAGCTAATCTCAGAAAGAACAAACTCTTTCTTTTGTGTCGTTCCCGAGTGTCTCTGTCGGAAACCTATCCAAAATTTTATTCCTATTTTTTAAACAAAGAACTTTTATTTTTTAACAATTTAAATTAAAAACATTTTGAATATCCGCAAGAATGACAAACCACACATCCTTCCGCAAATTCCAACATTTCTCCGCATTCAGGACATTGTCTGCATGCCCCTTCACTATTTCCTGAAGGTGAAGGTTTATATGTTTTAACTTTTTCTTCACTATTTTTTGCCACTGTCGGTGTCACTGTATCTGAAGTATCAAACAAATTCGGTTCATCTTTTTCAGAAATATAAGATTCAAGAGCTTTTGCTATTGCATCAGGACAAGACAATATCGCTCCATTTTCCGTAAGTGTAGGTGACGGACATCTTATACCTCTTAACTGAGCAACTATTCTTGCCGTATCTACTCCGGATCTTAAAGCCAAAGATATAAGCCGTGCTATGGCTTCCGATTGTGTTGCCTGACATCCTCCGGATTTTCCAAGTTGCGTAAACACTTCAAATACACCCTCATTATCTTCGTTAATTGTAACATACATTTTTCCGCAACCTGTATGCATCAACAATGTAGAACCGGTAATTTTTTTAGGTCTCAATCTTTCTCTTTTTACCGGAAGAGCCAAAACACCTGTTTGTTCTTTTTTATCGGGAGTAGAATTTGCCGAAACCAGCACTTGATCTTCCCTTGAACCGTCTCTATAAACAGTCACACCTTTACAACCCAACTTATAAGATAACATATATGCTTTACTTACATCTTCTTTTGTTGCATCATGTGCAAAATTTACCGTCTTTGAAACTGCATTATCCGTATACTTTTGAAATGCCGCCTGCATTCTAATATGATCTTCAGGAGAAATATCGTGTGCCGTAACAAAAACTCTTCTAATTTTTTCCGGAATTTCTTTTATATGCTTGATGCTTCCCTCTTTTGCAACTTTTTCCATTAATTTGTCTGAATAAATATTCGCATCTTTTAAAGCTTTTTCAAAATAAGGATTTACAATAAACATTTCCGTTTTATCCAAACAATTTGCTCTTTTATAAACCAATGCAAATATTGGCTCCACACCACCTGAAGCATTTGCAATAATACCAATTGTTCCTGTAGGTGCAATTGTTGTTGTGGTAGCATTTCTGATAGGATTGCCGTCTTTATAAATACTTTCTTTAAAGTTAGGAAAAGCTCCTCTATGCAATGCTATCTCTTCTGAAGCTTGATGAGACTTTGTTTCTATAAAATTCATCAATTTTTCCGCTAAAAGTATTGCTTCCGGAGAATTGTAAGGCATTTTTAATTGAAACAACATATCTGCCCAACCCATAACACCTAAACCTATTTTTCTGTTTGCTCTTGTTGTTTCACCAATTTTTGTGATTGGATAATTATTCATATCTATAACATTATCCAAAAAATGAACTGCAGATTTAACTATGGTTTCCAATCTTTTCCATTCTATTTTACCGTTTTTTACAAAATGCGATAAATTTATGGAACCTAAATTACATGCTTCATAAGGAAGTAACGGCTGTTCTCCGCAAGGATTTGTTGATTCTATTGTTCCAATATCAGGTGTAGGATTATATTCATTCATTCTGTCTATAAACACTATTCCCGGTTCACCGTTTTTCCATGCTTGTGTAACTATTTTGTCAAAAACTTTTCTTGCATGCAATCTTCCCACAACTTCTTTTGTTCTTGGATTATATAAATTGTAATCTTCGTCGTCTTCAACTGCTTCCATAAACTCTTTTGTTAAAGCAACCGATATATTGAAATTTGTAAGTTGTGTACCAACATCTTTACAAACAATAAATTTCATTACATCAGGATGATCAATTCTGAGCATCCCCATGTTTGCTCCTCTTCTGGTTCCGCCTTGCTTGATGGCTTCCGTAGCCGCATTAAATACCTGCATAAATGATACAGGACCTGAAGATACACCATTTGTAGATTTTACGGCATCGTTGGAAGGTCTTAATCTTGAAAAAGAAAAACCTGTTCCGCCACCTGACTTATGAATTAAGGCCGTATGTTTTAATGTTTCAAATATTGATTCCATTGAATCGTCTACCGGCAATACAAAACATGCTGAAAGCTGCTGCAACGGTCTTCCTGCATTCATTAATGTAGGCGAATTAGGCAAGAAATCCAAATTAGCTATCATTGTATAAAATTCTTCTATAGTTTTATCTAAATTAGAATCTTTATCGTAAATTTTATCTGCCTGTGCAATATTTTCAGCAACTCTAAAAAATAAATCCTCTGCCTGTTCTATTGGATTACCTTCGTTATCTTTTTTCAAGTATCTTTTTGATAATACTTTCGTAGCATTTTCATTTAGAGTTGACTTAATTTTTTCTAACAGTTTTTCTTTTAATGTTTGTGTTGACATTTCTCCTCCTTTTTATATTCGTTTTGTTTTTTTATCAAGTTCTTTTTTTTAATTTTTTTAATTCCGTCATAAAATCACTAATATCTGCAAAATTATTATATACTGAAGCAAATCTAACATATGCTACAATATCTATGTCTAATAGTTTTTGTAATATTTTTTGTCCTATTACTGCTGATGGCACTTCCATAATGTAGTCGCTTATCTCAGTTTCTACTTCTGAAACAACTTTTTCTATCGTTTCCACAGAAACAGGTCTTTTTACGCAAGCTCTGGAAACTGCATTCCACAATTTTTTCCTGTCAAAAGGGTTCTCTTCTACTATCTGATTTTACAACCATAAGTGTAACTTCTTCAGGTCTTTCATAAGTCGTATATCTTTTTTTGCATTGATTACATTGTCTTCTTCTTCTAATAGCCGAGGTATGTTCTATAGGTCTGGAATCTAACACTTGCCCATCAAAACTACCACAAAAAGGACATTTCATAGTAAAAACCTCATATTTTTATAGTAAAGTAAATGAATGGAATAAATACTATATATTGTGTATGTCGGTAATGATACAACATACATATTGATATGTCAAGAAAAATTTTGTAACTTTATGATATATTGAACTTTTTTGAAAAAATTTATTTATCAAAAATATATTAATAAAAAATATGTCAAGGAATAACGAAAAAATATTTTTTAAAAATAGATTTTAATAAGGATACAACTAACAGATCATTATATAAAAATTTCAAACAAAATATTAAGAACAATTAATTTATGTACCGAAAATAATTTAGTATAAACAGTAAATTACAGAGGTAAAAACAAAACCAAATATATGGAAATTGTACAAGCCCATAAAATAACTATTTATAATTATTTAAGAATTTGAAATTATTTAATCAAATAAATTATTGCCGCTTTATGAATATGTAGTCTGTTTTCTGCTTCTTCAAAGATATTGTCTTCTTGTTTTGCCATAACACTTGCCGTTATTTCTTCCCCTCTTATTGCCGGAAGACAATGTAAAACTATACAATTTTTATTTGCTTTTGATAATAATTCATCATTTACTTGATATTTTACAAAAGCTTTTCGTCTTTCTATGGATTCCTTTTCTTCACCCATAGAAATCCATACATCAGTATAAATAACATCAGAACCTTTAACATCTTCTATATTACTGCTTATTTTTATATTTGCTTTTGTTGTTTTTAGCAACTTCCAAAGCTTTATCTAAGAATTCCTTTTTAGGTGCATATTTAGACGGTCCTAACAATAAAAAATTAAGTCCCAAAAACTGCCGAAACGGCAAGCCAACTGTTTGCAACATTATTTGCATCACCTACAAAGAAATTTTCAGTTTTCTTAATTCTTCTAAAGTTTTTATTTTATATTTTTCTATTATCGTCATTAAATCTGCCAAAATCTGTAAAGGATGTTCCGTATCCGTTAAAGCATTTATAACCGGAACCGTAGAATATTTAGCAAACTCTTCCAAATAACTATGCTTAAATGCTCTTATAACTATGGCATCCAAATATCTTGACAAAACCTTTGCCGTATCATAAACAGATTCGCCTCTGGTTATTTGCAATTTTTTTTACATCTAAAATTAAAGGGGTTCCGTCTTCCTGACACATTGCAGCTGAAAAAGATACCATTGTTCTTGTAGAAGGTTTTTCAAATATAAGACCTATCGTTTTCCCTTTTAGTTGAAACTTTGATTTTTTTTGTTTTTTTCAACTTCAATGCAGAGCGAATAATTGTCAAAATTTCTTTATAAGTTAAATCATATATTGATAATATATTTTTTACTTTTTTCATAACACACTCTTACAACTTTCTTTTAAAATATAAAAACAAGAAGACTAATTTTGATGTCTTCTTGTTTTTATAATGTTATCTTTTATAAAAACTACATCTTTGAATCTATATATATTCCCGGACCCATTGTTGACGAAATTGAAATACTTTTTACATATTGACCTTTAGCTGATGAAGGTTTTGCTTTTAAAACTGCTCCAACCAAAGTCTTTATATTTTCCACAATTTTTCCTTTTCAAAAGATGCTTTTCCTACAGAGCAATGAATTATTCCAAAAGAATCATTTTTATATGCAACTTTACCTTTCTTTAATTCTTGAACAGTTTTTCCAATATCGAAATGTAACTGTTCCTGATTTTGGATTTGGCATTAAACCTTTAGGGACCTAATATTTTTGCAACTTTACTTAAATCTTTCATACAATCCGGTGTTGCAACCAAAACATCAAACCCTAACCACCCTTTTGCAATTTCTTCAACTATATCTGTTGAACCAACTTTATCTGCACCTGCTTTTTCGGCTTCAGTTTGTTTTTCACCTTTGGCAATTACAACAACACTTCTTGTTTTACCAATACCATTTGGCAATAAAATTGTGCCTCTAACGATTTGATCACTTTGTTTTGGATCAATACCCAAACGAATATGAATTTCTACAGATTCATCAAACTTTGCTTTTGCTGTTTGTTTTTACTAAACCTGCCGCTTCTTCTACCGAATAAATCTTACTTGAATCTACCAATTTTGATACTTCTTTAAATCTTTTTGCCATTTTAATCTCCTGTGGTTCAACCGCCTTTAAAGCTCCCACTTTTATTTAAAAAATCACTTTGTGATTTTAGTTTATAGTCTATGTTTTAAAATTCGCTTTACAATTTTTAGTTTATAAATTAATTAGTTTATTAGTTTGTTGTAAAAATTCTACGAATTTTTGAAATCTTTTAGTTTTTCTGCTTTTTAGATTTCCGATAATTATTTTAGACAAATCAACAACAATTTTTAGCTGTTTCTAATCCTCTAATCTTCTAATCTTCCAACCTGTCTGTCATTGCCGAATGTTTTTGTCGGCAATCTATCCAATATTTCCTTCCTCTTCTTTTAAAAGAGGAACTTTATTTTTTTTATAGATTCCCCGATTACAAATTTCGGGAATGACACCGTCAAAAATAACAATGTATTTTTATTTTCCATAGATCCCGCCCAACTACTTTGCGGGGAATGACCAACGGGATAAATTCCCGACAACTGCTTTCGGGAATGACAACAAAAAACAAAAAATAATTAATAATTAAAAATCATAAAATGATTTTACCGACATTATATGTTTTACATTCGTTCGCTGTTGTCAATCTTCCAAAATTGTCAAAGATATTTTTTACTTCTTTACTTCTATTCCCATACTTCTTGCCGTGCCTTCAACCATTAATTTTGCACCTTCCAAATCAATGGCATTTAAATCAGGCATCTTTTGCTTTGCAATCTCTTCAACTTGAGCTTTCGTAATAGAACCAACTTTAGTTTTATTAGGAACTCCTGAAGCTTTTGCAACCTTTGCGGCTTTCTTTATTAATGCAGGAACCGGAGGCATTTTTTGTTATGAATGTAAAACTTCTATCTTCATAAACAGTAATAACAACAGGTGTTGCCATACCTTGTTCCATTTTTTTTGTTCTTTCATTATATTGTTTACAAAAATCCATTATATTCACACCTTGTTGTCCAAGTGCAGGTCCAACCGGTGGTGCAGGGTTTGCTGCTCCTGCAGGTATTTGTAATTTAATCTGTGTTTTTACTTTCTTTGGTGGCATTTTAATATCTCCCTTAAATAAATCGTTTCATAATTTTTAGAAACATAAATTGTATGGAAATCAGGATGTATAGATTAAAAAATTGCTTTTCAATTTTTAGCTTGCAAACCAATTAGGTTATCAGCTTCTTTGTTATAAAAATTTATTACATATTTTTTTACAAAACAAAAAATATCTTAAACTTTTTAACTATTCAACCTTTCAGTTATTCAATTACTAACCTATCTTGGCTAATCAGCTTTCTCAACTGTTAGTGTTACCAATCTTCCAAAAATCTATTCTTCTATATCTCTATTCTTAAATCATGGTATATCTGAGCATGATAAACCACATTTATATTGTGCTGCCGTAACATACAGCTCATTTACTATATTTAATACACTTACATGGTTTTAAATACCATTTGGTGCAATTTATTTACTACACTTTTTCTACTTGTAAAAAATCAAACTCAACAGGAGTTGGTCTGCCAAAAATTGTAACCATAACTTTCAACTTTCCTTTTTCTTGGTTTACTTCTTCAACTATACCAATAAAATGATTGAAAGGACCTTCTGTTATTCTTACATTTTCACCTTTTTCAAAAGATATTGCCGGTCTTGGTTTTGCATCTTTAGGATTTGCCATGGCAGTTATAAGATTTTCAACTTCCGTCTCAAGCCATAGGTGCAGGTTTTACTCCACCCAAGAAACCTGTAACACCGGTAGTATTCCTAACTAACCAATATGTTTCATTATTTATAACCATCTCAATAAATACATAACCGGGATAAAACTTTTTCTTTCTTATTTTTTTCTTATTATTTTTTACAGAAACAACCTCTTCTGTCGGAACTAAAACTTGAGATATTAAATCTCTTTTTCCAAGGTTATCAACTGTTTTTTCTATACTATTTTTTACCTTATCTTCATGTCCGGAATATGTATGAACAACATACCACTGTTTAGCCATTTTTTACCTCAAACTTAATATTACACCTAATCCATAGGATAAAATCATATCAACAAGAGCAACAAAAGCAGCCATTATTATAACAAAAACTATTACAACAACAGTCGTGCGCCACAACTTCTTTTCTACTTAACCATGTAACTTTTGTTAATTCAAAATAAGCATCTTTAAAAAACTGTATTGCCTTACCCATAAACTATCTCACTTTACAATTATTATCCATCCATATAAACCCGGGGGCAGATGGATTTGAACCACCAAAGCCGGTTTTGGAGACCGGAAGTTTACCGTTAGCCTATGCCCCAGGGCTTTATAAACTATTTCGTCTCTTTATGTAAAACATGCTTTCCACATGTCTTACAATATTTTTTTACTTCTAATTTTCCTTCTTGTTTTTTGCCTCTTGCAAAATAATAATTTCTGTTTTGCATTCTGTGCAAGCCATTGTTATAATTACTCTGTCACCCATTTTTCTAATTCTCCAATATATTTACTACTCAATAATCTTAGTAACAACACCGGATCCAACTGTTCTTCCACCTTCTCTGATTGCAAATCTTAATTGCTCATCCATTGCTACCGGCATTATCAATTCTACATCCATCTCTACATTATCTCCCGGCATTACCATCTCTGTCCCTGCAGGTAAATGGGCTACTCCGGTTACATCGGTCGTTCTAAAATAAAACTGTGGTCTATATCCATTGAAAAATGGCGTATGTCTTCCACCTTCTTCTTTCTTCAATATATATACTTGCCCTTTAAACTTTTATTGCGGGTGTATTGTCCCCGGTGACTGCCAATACTTGTCCTCTTTCTACTTGATTCTTCTCTATTCCTCTTAACAATACTCCTATATTTATCTCCCGCTTGTGCTTCATCCAACAACTTCCTAAACATCTCTATTCCTGTTGCTACAGTCTTCAATGTATCTTTTATTCCTACTATTTCTAAGTTGTCTCCTACTTTTACTTTCCCTTTCTCTACTCTTCCTGTTGCTACTGTTCCTCTTCCCGTTATTGAAAATACATCTTCCACACTCATCAAGAACGGTTTATCTATATCTCTTTCAGGCAACTTTATTTCACTGTCTATTGCATCCATCAATGCCATTATTGAATCTATTCCTTCCTTCTTCCCTTGTAATGCTTGTAATGCACTCCTCTTATTATCTTCGTCTTGTCTCCGTCAAATCCATATTTCGTCAACAATTCTCTTACTTCCATCTCTACCAAATCCAACAATTCTTTATCTTCCACTGCATCACATTTATTCAAAAATACTACTATGTTTGGAACATTTACTTGTCTTGCCACAATATATGCTCTCTTGTTTGTGGCATCGGCCCGTCCAATGCACTTACTACCAAGATTGCTCCATCCATTTGTGCTTGCTCCGGTTATCATGTTCTTTACATAATCTGCATGTCCCGGACAATCTATATGTGCATAATGTCTGTTCTTTGTTGAATATTCTACATGGCTTACTGCTATTGTTACTATCTTTGTATCGTCTCTTCTTCCTTGTGACTCTGATGCTTTTGCTACTGTATCATAAGGTATATATTCTGCTAATCCTTGATCTCCCAATACCTTCGTTATTGCTGCTGTCAAGGTTGTTTTCCCATGGTCTACATGCCCTATTGTCCCTACATTTACATGTGGCTTTGATCTTGTCCAAATTTTTCTTTTGCCATTTTTTATCTTCCTCCCAATTTTATCGGTTATTCTTTATATATAGTACTCTGCGTTGATACCACTGCTT